CATTCCTACTTATGCCATGTCAAATTTGTTCTCTATCCTAAGAGGAGATCCAGACTTAAATAGTAAAAGAATATTAACCCCAGAGGCAACAAAAGAAATTAAATTAGTGGAAGAAAAAATTCAGTCAGCGCAAATAAATAGGATAGATCCTTTAGCCCCACTCCAACTTTTGATTTTTGCTACTACACATTCTCCAACAGGCATCATTATTCAAAACACTGATCTTGTGGAGTGGTCATTTCTTTCTCACAGTACAATTAAGACTTTTACATTGTACTTGGATCAAATAGCTACATTAATTGGTCAGGCAAGACTACGGATAATAAAATTGTGTGGTAATGACCCAGACAAAATAGTTGTTCCTTTAACCAAGGAACAAGTTAGGCAAGCCTTTATCAATTCTGGTGCATGGCAGATCGGCCTTGCTAATTTTGTGGGAGTTATTGATAATCATTACCCAAAAACAAAAATCTTCCAGTTTTTAAAATTGACTACTTGGATTTTACCTAAAATTACCAGACATGAGCCTTTAGAAAATGCTCTGACAGTATTTACTGATGGTTCCAGCAATGGAAAAGCGGCTTACACAGGACCAAAAGAGCGAGTAATCAAAACTCAGTATCAATCAGCTCAAAGAGCAGAGTTGGTTGCAGTCATTACAGTGTTACAAGATTTTAATCAACCTGTTAATATTATATCAGATTCTGCATATGTAGTACAGGCTACAAGGGATGTTGAGACAGCTCTAATTAAATATAGCATGGATGATCAGTTAAACCAGTTGTTTAATTTATTACAACAAACTGTAAGAAAAAGAAATTTCCCATTTTATATTACTCATATTCGAGCACACACTAATTTGCCAGGACCTTTAACTATAGCAAATGAACAAGCTGACTTACTGGTATCCTCTGCATTCATAAAAGCACAAGAACTTCATGCTTTGACTCATGTAAATGCAGCAGGGTTAAAAAACAAATTTGATGTCACATGGAAACAGGCAAAAGATATTGTACAACATTGCACCCAGTGTCAAGTACTACACCTACCCACTCAAGAGGCAGGAGTGAATCCCAGAGGTCTGTGTCCTAATGCATTATGGCAAATGGATGTTACCCATGTACCTTCATTTGGAAAATTATCATATGTTCATGTAACAGTTGATACTTATTCACATTTCATATGGGCAACATGCCAGACAGGAGAAAGTACTTCCCATGTTAAAAAACATTTATTATCTTGTTTTGCTGTAATGGGAGTTCCAGAAAAAATTAAAACTGACAATGGACCAGGTTATTGTAGTAAAGCTTTCCAAAAATTCTTAAATCAGTGGAATATTACACATACAACAGGAATTCCTTATAATTCCCAAGGACAGGCCATAGTTGAAAGAACTAATAGAACACTCAAAACTCAATTAATTAAACAAAAAAAAGGGGGAGACAGTAAGGAGTATACCACTCCTCAGATGCAGCTTAATCTAGCACTCTATACTTTAAATTTTTTAAACATTTATAGAAATCAGACTACTACTTCTGCAGAACAACATCTTACTGGTAAAAAGAACAGTCCACATGAAGGAAAACTGATTTGGTGGAAAGACAACAAAAATAAGACATGGGAAATAGGGAAGGTGATAACCTGGGGAAGAGGTTTTGCTTGTGTTTCACCAGGAGAAAATCAGCTTCCTGTTTGGATACCCACTAAACATTTGAAGTTCTACAATGAACCCATCGGAGATGCAAAGAAAAGCGCCTCCACGGAGACGAAAACACCGCAATCGAGCACCATTGACTAACGAACAAGCCTTCATCGCCATGGCACATTTATATAGAGGAAAAGGGAGGGAGAACGTTGCGGGAAGTCAGGGACCTTGAACGCAGGGACTGGCTGAAGCCACGGCAGAAAAACATAAAATGTAAAGATTTCATGGACATTTATTAGTTCTCCAAAATTAATACTTTTGTAATTTCTTATGTCTTTACTTTAATCTCTTAATTCTATCATCTTCTATGTAAACTGAGGAGGATATATGTCACCTCAGGACCCTGTGATGATTGCCTTAACTGCACAAATTGTTTGTGGAGCATGTGTGTTTGAACAATATGAAATCTGGGCTTCTTGAAGAACAGGATAACAGCAATGTTCAGGGAACAAGGGAGGCAACCTTGAACTGGCCGCCGGTGAGCCGGACGGAACAGAGCCATATTTCTTCTCTTTTCATTATGCAAATAGGAGAAATATCGCTGAATTCTTTTTCTCAGCAAGGAACACCCCTGAGAAAGAGAATGCGCTCTGAGGGTAGGCCTATAAACGACCCCCTTGGAGGCGTGCCGCCTTTTACGGTTGAAGCCGAAGGGATGAAATAAGCCCCGGCCTCCTGTAGCGCTCCCAGGCTTATTAGGACGAGGAAATTCCCACCTAATAAATTTTGGTCAGACAGGTTGTCTGCTCTCAAACCCTGTTTTCTGATAAGATGTTATCCATGACTATGCATGCCCAAAAATTTTAATTTTAACACCATCCTGTGATCTCATCCTGCCTCCACTTGCTTTGTGATATTCTATTACTTTGTGTCATGATGACAATGGTGGTTTTGTTGAAAAGAAAAGGGGGAAATGTGGGGAAAAGAAAGAGATCAGCCTGTTACTGTGTCTATATAGAAAGAAGTAGACATAAGAGACTCCATTTTGTTCTGTATTTGAGATGCTGTTAGTCTGTGACCCTACCCCCAACCTTGTCCTTGCGAGAGACATGTGCTGTGGTAACTCAAGGTTTAATGGATTTTGGGCGTGCAGGGTGTGACTTTGTTCCTAGAAAAGCTAGGTATTGTCCAAGGTTTATCCCCATGTGATAGGATGAAACAACGTTGCTAAAAGGTTTATCTCAAGGCACGGGATTTTCCTTTAAACTTATTCATGTCACAGAGATCCTTGTTCTTATGTCTTACTGCTAATTTCCTCCCTAAAAATGATCCTATTGTCCTGCCACTCCCTTATCTTTAAGATGGTAAAGATAATTATCTATAAATACTAAGGGAACTCAGAGGCCGGTGCCGGCGTGGGTCCTCTGTAAGCTGAGCGCCGGTCCCCTGGGCCCCGCTTTTCTTTCTCTATACTTTGTCTCTGTGTCTTATTTCTTTTCTCAAGTCTCTCGTTCCACCTAACGAGAAACACCCACAGGTGTGGAGGGGCAGGCCACCCCTTCATGCAAGGTTTTGGATTTGCCTAGGACCCATTACTGCTTCCTTTTCTATTTCTTTTTTGAAATGAGAATATCTATCTTATGCCTGTGTGTCTATTGTACTATGGAAGCATATAACTTTTCTTGTTTCATGGGTTCACTGCTGGCGAGAAATGTTACCTCTGGATGAATCACACCTTGAATCTCATGCATTTAGATAATATTCAGATAATATTTAGATGAGACTTTGGGCCTTAGATTTTAGAGTTGATGCTGGAATAAATTAAAAATTTGAGGGCTCTTGGGATAGAATGAATCTATTTTGCATGTGAGGAGAAAATAAATTTGTTGGGGAGGGGCAATGGTACAATGTTATGAGCTGAATTGGTCCCCCAAAATTCATATTCTATACCCCTAACTTCCATCCAGTGTAGCTGTATTTGAAAATAGAGATTCTAAGGAAATAATTAAGATTAAATAAAGTCATATGACTTGGGCCCTGTTCCAGTAGGATGTGTCCTTATACGAACAGATGCTAGACAGCTTGCTCTTATGGTCTCTCTTGTCTCTGTCTCTATCCTTGATTCTCTCTGGCTCCACTTTTGCACTGGGAAAAAGCCGTGTTAGGACATTATGACAAGGTGTCAGGCAGAAAGCTTTCACTAGAAACTGACTATGCTCTATTAAGATCATAGATTCTAGGATCCAGAATGTGGGAAAATAAATTTCTGTTGTTTAATCCACCTAGCTGTGGTATTTTGTTATGGCATCCTAAGCAGACTGATAGAGCAAAGATGTGAAGAAATTGCAAATTTTGTAAATTGCTGGTGGGAATATAAAATGGTGCAGCTGCAACAGAAAATATAATAGTACTCCAGTTTTTCAAATAATAAACATAATATTCACATATGATCCAGTAATTCCTCTCCTTGGCATATGCCCAAAACAATTGAAAGCAAGCACTCAAACAGATATTTTCACACCAACGTTTAAAGTAGTACTATTCACAATAGCCAAAAAAATGGAAACAACTCAAATGCCCATCAGAACAGACAAGCAAAAGGTGATATACACATACAGTGAAATACTATTTAGCCTTTAAAAAAAGAATACAATTCTGACACACGCTACAACATGGATGAGCATAGATTTAATATATTATGCTAAGTGAAATAAAGCAGACACAAAAGGACAAATATCATATAATTCCAAAGTTATGAGGTACTTTGAGTAGTGAAATTGTTCACAGAGACAGAAAGTAGAGTGGTGGTTGCCAGAGGTTTGGGGGAGGAATGGAAGGTACTGTTTAATGAGTACAGAGTTTCGGTTTGGGAAAATGACAAGATTCTGATGATGGGGTTGCACAACCATCTGAGTGGACTTATTGCCACTGAACATTCATGCCACATTAATGCTGAACATGAAACCGTTTAAAATGGTTAAAATGATAATTTTTAAAATGTATTTTTTACCACAATAAAACTAAAGTTAGAAATCAGGGGTTTCCCTGTATTTTAAGATACCATTATTTTCACTTTTACAAATACTACCAATATCAAATTAGATTGACATCTCATGATTTTGTGAGTTTCTGGAAAATCTAGTGAGTAAAGAAGGAAACTGAGAAGTTAGGCATCTTCTCTAAGCCATATTTTGAACAGAACAATTCCTTCTATTCCAAATTATAAGAGGAACTCAGTAAATTCAGTAAAGATTGCCATAAGAAGGTAGAATTATTTTCGGTTGTTTCTCACCTACGTTTCCACACACATGCTTATCTCTTAAACAATGTGCATGTTTGCCAGCACACAGGTTACCTGAGTGTACCGGTCAGTACTTATGTCATCATCCGTTGATGGCCATAGTCCATATCTGAAATATTTAGACTCACTGTACCAGACTCCAATTACACTGGACCATGATACAGGATAAGACGTCATATTCCTATTTTCTCCGCAAAAGGTATCTGAAATGAGAAAACGGCCTGGGTCATACTCTGAACAAATGGGAAATAGTATACAAGGAGACTTTCCTCATTTTTATTTTGTGAATGGTTCACTAATCATCTTGACAACATCTTCTGAGAGGAAGTAAAATCTGTTGTATCCCTGCTGAAAGCCTTCTTTCTCATTGATGAATGAGCATGTGGTACTCAAGTTTAGTGAAAAGTTGATAGTAGGTGATGAACACATTTTGAAATCAAATCAATCAACATTTCAGTCTCTGCTGCTTCCAGGCTGCTTTAGATAGGTGAAACCAAATCAGAGAAACCTAAGAGTTTTAACAGGGTCTATGGCTTAAAAGAAGCTACACACAGGTGTTCACAATACAAAGATGTTGAATAATCATTTGTATATTTAGCCATTCATGTATGTTGTGGGCTTTTGGTTGAACATGGTATTCAGGAGTATCTGCCTTTTCTTAAGGCAGTCAGGAACCACTTTGCTATTTCACTGCTCAAAAGCATTGGACTAAGATTCCAAATATTCTGTAGATATAAATGTGAGTTAGCATTTTTAAAACATCTTAATTTTAAAAAGATTCTCATGTTAAAATATAATGTGTATTCCTGAGTGAAGGTGATATAGTTTGGATGTCCCCTCCAAATCTCATGTTGAGATGTAATCCCAGTGTTGAAGGTGGGGCCTGGCTGGAGATGTTTACCTCATGGTAGCGGATTCCTGAAATAACTCAGTGCTGTCTTCATAATGGCGAGTGGGTTCTCAAGAGATCTGGTTGTTTAAAAGTGCGTGGCACCCCCCAACTCTCTCTCTCTCGCTCCCTCTCTCACCATGTAAGACACTTGCTCGCCCTTCACCTTCTGCCATGATTGTAAGCTTCCTAAGGTCTCACCAAAAGCCAGGTAGATGTGGGTGCCATGCTTCCTGTACAGCCCACAGAGTTATGAGCTAATTAAATCTCTTTTTAATAAATTACCCAGGCTCAGGTATTTCTTTATAGCAACACAAAAATAGTGTAACACAGAAGTAATAATTTTTTTTAAATTTATTTCCTGGAAACTAGCAGTAAGTTACCTAATCTATATGCTTTAAGATGGGCTCGGGAGGGCGGAGCAAGATGGCCGAAGAGGAACAGCTCCAGTCTTCAGCTCCCAGTGTGAGCGACACAGAAGATGGGTGATTTCTGCATTTTCAACTGAGGTACCAGGTTCATCTCACTGGGGAGTGCCAGACAATCAGTGCTGGTCAGCTGGAGCAGACCGACCAGCCAGAGCTGAAGCAGGGCAAGGCATCACCTCACCTGGGAAGTGCAAAGGGGAAGGAAATCCCTTTTCCTAGCCAAGGGAAACTGAGACACATAATACGTGGAAAATAGGGTAACTCCCACCCTAATACTGCGCTTTACCAAGGGTCTTAGCAAACGGCACACCAGGAGATTTTATCCCACACCTGGCCGGGAGGGTCCCATGCCCAGGGAGCCTCCTTCATTGCTAGCACAGCAGTCTGAGATCTAACTGCATGGAAGCAGTGAGACTGGGGGAGGGGCGCCCGCCATTGCTGAGGCTTAAGTAGGTAAATGAAGCTGAAGCCGCTGGGAAGCTCGAACTGGGTGGAGCCCACAGCAGCTCAAGGAGGCCTGCCTGTCTCTGTAGACTCCACCTCTGGGGACAGGGCACAGCTGAAAAAAAGAAGCAGAAACCTGTGCAGATGTAAATGATCCTGTCTGACAGCTTTGAAGAGAGCAGTGGATCTCACAACACGGTGGTTGAGATCTGAGAAAGGACAGACTGCCTGCTCAAGTGGGTCCCTGACCCCTGAGTAGCCTAATTGGGAGACATCCCCCACAAGGTGCAGACCGACACCCCACACCTCGCACGACGGGGTACACCCCTGAGATGAAGCTTCCAGGGCAAGAATCAGACAGGAACACTCGCTGTTCAGCAACATTCTATCTTCTGCAGCCTCCGCTGCTGACACCTAGGCAAACAGGGTCTGGAGTGGACCTCAAGCAATCTCCAACAGACCTACAGCTGAGGGTCCTGACTGTTAGGAGGAAAACTAACAAACAGAAAGGACACCCACACCAAAACCCCATCAGCACGTCACCAACATCAAAGACCAAAGGCAGATAAAACCACAAATATGGGGAAAAAGCAGGGCAGAAAAGCTGGAAATTCAAAAAATAAGAGCGCATCTTCCCCTCCAAAGGAATGCAGTTCATCACCAGCAACGGATCAAAGCTGGGTGGAGAATGACTTTGTCAAGTTGAGAGAAGAAGGCTTCAGTCGACAAACTTCTCAGAGCTAAAGTAGGAACTACATAACCAGCGCAAAGAAACTAAAAATCTTGAAAAAAGAATGGAAGAATGGATAACTAGAATAATCAATGCAGGGAAGGCCATAAACGAACTGACAGAGATAAAAACCATGACATGAGAAATACGTGACAAACGCACAAGCTTCAGTAACTGACTTGATCAACTGGAAGAAAGTGTATCAACGATTGAAGATCAAATGAATGAAATGAACTGAGAAAAGAAGTCTAGAGAAAAAAGGAAAAAGAAATGAACAAAGCCTTCAAGAAGTATGGAATTATGTGAAAATACCAAATCTACGTCTGATTGGGGTGCCTGAAAGTGAGGGGGAAAATGGAACCAAGTTGGAAAACACTCTTCAGGATATCATCCAGGAGAACTTCCCCAACCTAGTAAGGCAGGCCAACATTCAAATTCAGGAACTACGGAGAGCACCACAAAGATACCCCTCGAGAAGAGCAACTCCAAGACACATAATTGTCAGATTCACCAAAGTTGAAATGAAGGAAAAAATGTCAAGGACAGCCAGAGAGAAAGGTCGGGTTACCCACAAAGGGAAGCCCATCAAACTAACAGCAGATCTCTCAGTAGAAACTCTCCAAGCCAGAAGAGAGTGGAGGCCAATATTCAACATTCTTAAAGAAAAGAATTTTCAACCCAGAATTTCATATTCAGCCAAACTAAGTTTCATAAGTGAAGGAGAAATAAAATCCTTTACAGACAAGCAAATGCTTAGAGATTTTGTCACCACCAGGCCAACCCTACAAGAGATCCTGAAGGAAGCACTAAACATGGAAAGGAGCAATCAGTACCAGCCATTGCGAAAACATGCCAAAATGTAAAGACCATCGATGCTAGGAAGAAACTGCATCAACTAATGAGCAAAATAACCAGCTAACTTCATAATGACAGGATCAAATTCACACATAACAATATTAACCTTAAACATAAATGGGCTAAATGGTCCAATTAAAAGACACAGACTGGAAAATTGGATAAAGAGTCAAGACCCATCAGTTTGCTGCACTCAGGAGACGCATCTCACATGCAGAGACACACATAGGCTCCAAATAAAGGGATGGAGGAACATCTACCAAGCAAATGGAAAACAAAAAAAAGCAGGGGTTGCAATACTAGTCTCTGATAAAACAGACTTTAAACCAAAAAAGATCAAAAGAGACAAAGAAGGCCATTACATAATGGTAAAGGGATCAATTCAACAGGAAGAGCTAACTACCCTAACTATATATGCACCCAATACAGGAGCACCCAGATTCATAAAGCAAGTCCTTAGAGACTTACAAAGAGACTTAGATTCCCATACAATAATAATGGGAGACTTCAACACCCCACTGTCAACATTAGACAGATCAATGAGACAGAAAGTTAACAAGGATATCCAGGAATTGAACTCATCTCTGCACCAAGTCGACCTAATAGACATCAACAGAACTCTCCACCCCAAATCAACAGAGTATACATTCGTCTCAGCACCACATCACACTTATTCCAAAATTGACCACATAGTTGGAAGTAAAGCACTCCTCAGCAAATGTAAAAGAACAGAAATCATAACAAATTGTCTCTCAGACCACAGTGCAATCAAACTAGAACTCAGGATTAAGAAACTCAGCCAAAACCACTCAACTACATGGAAACTGAACAACCTGTTCCTGAATGACTACTGGGTACATAATGAAATGAAGGCAGAAATAAAGATGTTCTTTGAAACCAATGAGAACAAAGATACAACATACCAGAATCTCTGGAACACATTTGAAGCAGTGTGTAGAGGGAAATTGATAGCACTAAATGCCCACAAGAGAAAGCTGGAAAGATTTAAAATTGACACTCCAGCATCACAATTAAAAGAACTAGAGAAGCAAGAGCAAACACATTCAAAAGCTAGCAGAAGGGAAGAAATAACAAGAAATAACTAAGATCAGAGCAGAACTGAAGGAGATAGAGACACAAAAAACCCTCCAAAAAATCAATGAATCCAGGAGCTGGTTTTTTGAAAGATCAACAAAATTGACTGACCGCTAGCAAGACTAACAAAGAAGAAAAGAGAGAAGAAACAAATAGACGCAATAAAAAATGATAAAGGGGATATCACCTCCGACCCCACAGAAATACAAACTACCATCAGAGAATACTATAAACACCTCTACGCAAATGAACTAGAAAACCTAGAAGAAATTGATAATTTCCTGGACACTTACACTCTCCCAAGACTAAACCAGGAAGAAGTTGAATCCCTGAATAGACCAATAGCAGGCTCTGAAATTGAGGCAATAATTAATAGCCTACCAACCAAAAAAAGTCCAGGACCAGATGGATTCACAGCCAAATTCGACCACAGGTACAAGGAGGAGCTGGTACCATTCCTTCTGAAACTATTCCAATCAATAGAAAAAGAGGGAATCCTCCCTAACTCATTTTATGAGGCCAACATCATCCTGATACCAAAGCCTGGCAGAGACACAACAAAAAAAGGGAATTTTAGACCAATATCCCTGATGAACATCGATGCAAAAATCCTCAATAAAATACTGGCAAACCAAATCCAGCAGCACATCAAAAAGCTTATCCACCATGATCAAGTGGGCTTCATCCCTGGGATGCAAGGCTGGTTCAACATACACAAATCAATAAATGTAACCCATCACATAAACAGAAGCAAAGACAAAAACCACATGATTATCTCAATAGATGCAGAAAAGGCCTTTGACAACATTCAACAGCCCTTCATACTAAAAACTCTCAATAAATTTGGTATTGATGGAACATATCTCAAAATAATAAGAGCTATTTATGACAGACCCACAGCCAATATCATACTGAATGGGCAAAAACTGGAAGCATTCCCTTTGAAAACTGGCACAAGACAGGGATGCCCTCTCTCACCACTCCTATTCCACATAGTGTTGGAAGTTCTGGCTAGGGCAATAGGCAAGAGAAAGAAATAAAGGGTATTCAGTTAGGAAAAGAAGAAGTAAAATTGTCCCTCTTTGAGATGACATGATTGTATATTTAGAAAACCCCATTGTCTCAGACCAAAATCTCCTTAAGCTGATAAGCAACTTCAGCAAAGTCTCAGGATACAAAATTAAGGTGCAAAAATCACAAGCAATCTTATACAGCAGTAACAGACAAACAGAGAGTCAAATCATGAATGAACTTCCATTCACAATTGCTTCAAAGAGAATAAAATACCTAGGAATCCAACTTACAAGGGATGTAAAGGACCTCTTCAAGGAGAACTACAAACCACTGCTCAGTGAAATCAAAGAGGACACAAACAAATGGAAGAACATAACATGCTCATAGATAGGAAGAATCAATATCGTGAAAATGGCCATACTGCCCAAGGTAATTTATAGATTCAATGCCATACCCATCAAGCTACCAATGAGTTTCTTCACAGAATTGGAAAAAAACTGCTTTAAAGTTTGTATGGAACCAAAACAGAGCTCACATTGCCAAGACAATCCTAAGCGAAAAGAACAAAGCTGGAGGCATCACACTACCTGACTTCAAACTATACTACAAGGCTACAGTAACCAAAACAGCATGGTACTGGTACCAAAACAGAGATATAGACCAATGGAACAGAACAGAGTCCTCAGAAATAATACCACACATTTACAGCCATCTGATCTTTGACAAACCTGAGAGAAACAAGAAATGGGGAAAGGATTCCCTATTTAATAAATGGTGCTGGGAAAATTGGCTAGCCATAAGTAGAAAGCTGAAACTGGATCCTTTCCTTACTCCTTATACGAAAATTGATTCAAGATGGATTAGAGACTTAAATGTTAGACTTAAAACCATAAAAACTCTAGAAGAAAACTTAGGTAATACCATTCAGGACATAGGCATGGGCAAAGACTTCATGTCTAAAACACCAAAAGCAACGGCAACAGAAGCCAAAATTGACAAATGGGATCTAATTAAACTAAAGAGCTTCTGCACAGCAAAAGAAACTACCATCAGAGTGAACAGGCAACCTACAGAATGGGAGAAAATTTTTGCAATCTACTCATCTGACAAAGGGCTAATATCCAGAACCTACAAAGAACTCAAACAAATTTACAAGAAAAAATCAAACAACCCCATCACAAAGTGGGCAAAGGATATGAACAGATATTCCTCAAAAGAAGACATTCATATAGCCAACAGACACATGAAAAAATACTCATCATCACTGGCCATCAGAGAAATGCAAATCAAAACAACAATGAGATATCATCTCATACCAGTTAGAATGGCAATCATTCAAAAATCAGGAAACAACAGGTGCTGGAGAGGCCATGGAGAAATAGGAACACTTTTACACTGTTGGTGGGATTGTAAACTAGTTCAACCATTGTGGAAAACAGTATGGCGATTCCTCAAGGACCTAGAACTAGAAATACCATATGACCCAGCCATCCTATTACTGGGTATATACCCAAAGGATTATAAATCATGCTGCTATGAAGACACATGCACACGTATGTTTATTGCAGCACTATTCACAATAGCAAAGACTTGGAATCAACCCAAATGTCCATCAGTGACAGACTGGATTAAGGAAATGTGGCACATATACACCATGGAATACTATGCAGCCATAAAAAAGGACGAGTTTGTGTCCTTTGTAGGGACATAGATGCCGCTGGAAACCATCATTCTCAGCAAACTATTGCAAGAACAGAAAACCAAACACCGCATGTTCTCACTCATAGGTGGGAATTGAACAATGAGATCACTTGGACTTGGGTAGGGGAACATCACACACCGGGACCTATTATGGGGAGGAGGGAGGGGAGAGGGATGGCATTGGGAGTTGTACCTGATGTAAATGGCAAGTTGATGGGTGCTGACAAGTTGATGGGTGCAGCACACCAACATGGCACAAGGATACATATGTTATAAGCCTGCACGTTGTGTGCATGTACCCTAGAACTTAAAGTATTAAAAAAAAAAAAAAAAGATGGGCTCATTTTTGAGCACCTAAAATTATCTTATGGGCAGCTGTGCAGGGCTGCATATAACTTATTTCTCAACTGCATTACCGTTCCAAAGCTAAGAAGATCCCCTGGTGTTATTGTTCAGTAGCTAAAGTAACTACACAGAATGGAGACCTAGGTCTGTAGCTGCTCACTCCACTCTTCTGCAATACTGAGAGTTTTGATTCATTTCTCCTGATGGTCAGAGCTTGGAATCTGAAAACTTCAGAACTTGGAATCTGAAAACTTAAAGATATAAACCTTAAAAATTAATGAGTTAAAAACAGTGTAATAGTCCACAACTCACTGCCATGTATGACCCAGTGCAAACAAGGAAATCTAGATGACTTAATTTACTTTCATCAGGGTACATAACAATGCCTGTTTTACTATTGTTTTTTTTTTTTCTTTTTAGTCCAAAGGCGGGTCATAGAGACACACACTTACTTGGAAGTCTCCTCTCAAGGGGGTTGCTCTCTGTCATATCACAATAGCGTGAAAAAATTTTGGCATTTTGTGCAGCCTCTTCACTCCAACTCTGTAGTGGAAAGAAAAAAAAAAAAAAAAAGCACATGGTCCAATTAATATTTTCATAAGATTCTAATTTATTGTTTCTAATAATCCATGAGATATAATATCTTCCATTGTGTCAACTAGAAATACAAATAAGGAGATTACTATTAAACGTTCTAGTAGAAAGAGAAAGACAACAATTTCAATGTATTATGTTGGCCCTTGAATTCACAAATTCAAAATTTGGTAATTACATTCAGAGATAGATTCTCTCACAGATGTAGTAGAGAATTTAAGTAAATGCTTCCAGGGAAACAGACCAGAGTTCCCTAGTAATTTATTTGTAGTTTAAACTCAGACATGTTATTTTATCTCTTGGAATCTCAGTTTATCCGTCTGGAAACTGTTAGCTGTAATTTATGCCCAAAGGTTTGTTCAAATGTGATAATCCAAGGAATACAACTAAGATGTGATAAATCTTATGTATTGAATAAATGATGGCTGTGATTAGAAGCAAGGACACAGTCACATTTATATCTAAAATTATGAATAACAAAAATGGAAGCTAACTCCACATGGTAGAATCTGTCACCAATTTTGTGTGTATCTTCTGTCACTTTAACCTCAGAGCAAGTCTACAAAAGAGATAATATTATATCCATTTGTAAATAAGATAACTAAGGCACAGAGATGTTAAGTAACTTTTAGGGGGTCACACTACAAATAATTGACAAAATAAGAATTTGAATCCACTTAGGATGGCTTTAGAGTATGTGTTCTTGAATCTCAGTGTGCATCAACTATGCCGAGTTGAAGCATTTGGTCAGGTATGAGTAAGTAACAGCTATTCTCCCAATGCAGAAAAGGAGAAATTCTGCATCTGTAAGCATGACACTCCGCGGTAAACGATCTCCCTAATATTCTTCTATCATTGTGGTGTATATGAAACTGCCCAATTTTTACAAAGAACTGAGCCTATGAACATTTGTCTTATCTGAGTTCCTTTGTCAGGAAACCCATCATCAGGCCCCTCAGGTGGTAGCAGGGAACTGAGGCTTTCCTGATCACCACACCTGGGCAAGGAGACACAGCTACTACCTGTCGACCAGCTCCTCTTTCTTGTCCCTCCTGTTTTCCGTCCCTCCTATATAAACCTGTAACTTTGGTTGGTTAGGGAGAGGGAAGGATTTGACAGGCTGACATCACCCACAACAAAGTCTTTCTTCTCAGGCAATGGACAATACTCATCTAGTGACTGGCTTTCTGTGCTGCAAGCAACTATACCTTGGCTGAACGCCTGGTGTTCAGCAGCATATACATCCATTTAAAAGAATATCCTTATATGTGCATATAACACATTGCCAACAGAAGGTGTAGAGTTTGTTTTTACTATAAGTTTTTATGTAAATCATTCAGCTACTCTTTAGACTGTTTGGAGGACATTCATTTTCAGTATCGTCCTGAGCATGTAAAGTTTAATTATTATATGTATTTGCTGCCATCTTGTGGTCAACTTTTTGAATTACCTTTGGGGTTGAATGAGACGAATTAAATAACTCATTAGCTTAGCACTGGGTAAAACCATGGTTTTGCAGGTTTTGATCGTTTCAAGAAAAAAAATTATTTTAGTTATGGCTATGTCTAACTTTTGAGCAGAAATGACACAACACATCTACCAGTGTATAGGCTCTCTGGGCTGGGGGAATACCATGGCATTCACTAGCAAAGAAAACTTATGGGAACTGGAACTTATCTGGTTAAAATATAGCAGGACGTTTGCACTTTGAAAAAGCTGTATAGGACATTACCTCTGATTAATGTTGGTGAGATACTCCTTTTCTGAGACATATTCACAATTAAAATTGAAGTTTGTACTATGATCATACCAAAGCTCGGAATTTCAGCTTTAACGAGTGACTCTGCTTTGGTTCTAATACTGTGTTCAGAAACTATTTTTTTTAACAAAATCTCTGCCTGGTAATTGCGGTTAACTCTTCAGTCCTATTGTTCCTTAAACTTGCTGTTGCTACTTCTAATCCTATATATGTCCTATGCATTGTTTGTGGAGCAGCTGAACCCTCCTATTTCTTTTGAAATATTTCTCCGTTTTACTGGTACACTTACTTTTATCATCTTGTTGACATTTCATACCTTTGTGCCTTAGCGCTTGAATATATGCATTCTTATATTGTTTCCAGTTTTTCTTCTGTATTTGCCTTTCATCTCCAATCTCAAATCAGAGGCTATATTTTTCACATTTCTTTAACCTTGTTTGTACCTCCTAGGTAAACTTATTTGCTCATCTGGCAACCAAGAAATTTGGACTCTACTTCTCCAGCTCCTTGGATCTGGCCAACTTGCATTTTAATCTGGGCCCCAGTTCTTAAGATTTTGAATAAGCTCCTCAATTTTCCTTAGGTTCAGTGTCATAATATGTAAAATGAAGAAAATTGTATTGGAAGAATGCAATGAGCTGATGTAACAAGGTATTTGAAAAATGCCTGTAAATAATAAACACAACATGTATGTTTGCTACAACACCATGTAGGAATGCCTCTGAAAGTTATTGATTTTTATCTTTAGTTCAAATACCTCTTTGGATTTTAAAGCGATTAAGAGATAAATCTCAAAATCATTTATCTATTTCCTTGTTTCATCCTCTTCATCATTTGTAAGAGAAAGGTGTTCCTTAGAATCACCCTCCACAGCCTGCACTGTTTCTAACCCTTGTTGCTATAGGCTGGTCCAGGGTTCAAGGAAGCAGGCTGAGGGTGCTCATGAAACTGAGTGATACTGCTGGATAACAAATGTGAGAGTAATCACCTAAACACCTGAGACTTCCCTAAATTTTTCTTGTAGCAGAGAATAGCAGGTTTATAATGAAAGAATTTCTCTTCCTCTTTATGGGATGCAATGTTGGTGAGATACCAACATTGGTATGCAATGTTGCAATGAAACTGGGGGATAAATTTATGGGTGCAATGAAACTGGGGGATAAATTTGCCAATATTTATTTACCTGGCCACATCAACTAACTAGATATCTGGACATTTTAACTCTAGGAAGAGTGTCTTAGCCTCTGGACTACTGCCCAATGAAGACAGCTATGAAATGCATGGATAACTTGTTGATCAATATTTGTCGTATATACTGGCAGCATCAGCATCAGCTGGGAGCTTGTGGCGGTCTCCAGGTCAGACCTCCTGAATCAGGATATCAGACACCAAGAAAGTGTGCTTTACTAAGTTCTTCAGGTAATTCTTGAGTACATGAAAGGCTGAGAAGCACTGTCTTAGAGTATTGAGGAATGAAGCTAGGCTGGCTGAGCTCTGTCCTTGACTAACCATACAATCATCAGAAAGTTACTTACCTTCTCTGGGTCTCTCTTTCTTCTGCTACGTAAAATATTTGTTGTGAAGATAAAACTTTTAGCACTTTGAAAGTGCGTAGAACTTAATAAAAACTCAGTAAACACCACTACGATTATTGCCATCATGGTTGTTGCTATTGTTCGATCTTACCATCTTCAGCATGTTGCTGGCTGGTGGAACTACTCCTCTTCTGAGAGTGTTGTGTATATTAACGATCTCTTGTTGTACATTTGGCAAGTCAGTGACGAGCTTATTAAATAGTTTTTTAGCTGATTTCCTCTGTTACCAGAAAAATATTAATTAGTGTTACTTCTTTTAAGTGGAATTTGTCATATATATTTTGCAGACCTATAGGCAATGCAAATTAAGTTTATATTAAACAGTGATTTATAGCATTTTCAAATTTATAGTGTCTCATTATATTGGATTCCGTTTCTCTAGTACTAGTTTTGAGGATTTCTGAACATCAGGATGACATTACATTAGTCTTCGGAATAATGCACTGGTTATCCTGTGATTAGGATTTTTCCAGGTTCATACTTTGGACCATGATGAAGCACTTTTTATTGGGCAATAAGATCCACAAAGGAAGATATCTTCAAAGCACGCCTGTTACTTACTTCTCTGGCTTATTCTCCACACACCTCCCACCCTGCAACAATTGTACTCTCTGCTTCCCAAATAAACTACTTCCACTTGAACCCTTGTCTAGTGGTGTGTGTCTGGGAGAACCCAAACTAAGAAATTCATTACTGAGGACAAAGCCACAAGTGCTATCAACACAAATTCTGTGTCTTCTTTCTGTTCGTATGAGAAAACATCAATACTCTCAAGTGTATGTGTGAGAGAGTATAACATAGAATTCAAATTCAGCCTACAATCTTGAATTCGTGACTGTTCTTTTCATTTATTTATTTTTTATTCTGAAACTCACTAAGAAGAAAAATACATGACCAAAGTATTTAGTTTAGCATTAATCGCTATAAAGAGCATTATTGTGTGTGTGTGTGTGTGTGTGTGAGATATCACATGTACTTCATACCTTTTTTTAAAAATGTAGCAGAACTAATGTACTATAATGTGAGGGGTGTCTGTTGCTTCCTTAATACCACAAGACCATCAGCACAATTTATGAATGCATAAGATCTAGCACCATAACTTACACAAATACAGAAGTATTCACTGTCATTTATATCAACAGTTCAGGGTATGGGGAGAAAACTTAAATATGGAATTCAGAAGACTCCTCTAGAGACTGTCTCTATGGACATACTCACATGGTGTTATTTTTTTCTCACATTGCAAGTCACTCTGATTTGGACTAGAGGAAAGGCTGAGGACCTACATGATTCCACATACCATTTCCAGATTACAACTCTCCTTGCTCCTCTGAAAACCTTTGCCGTATGGAAACTCATGACATTTTCCTCTCACACCTCATTCTTGAACATTTATTTAACATCTTATCATGGTTTTTTTCCTACTTCCTCTCTTTCCTGGAAATTGTGTTTCCTGAAACGAATTCATCTTTTCCACTCAGATTTCTGAAGTCAACTCAAAGGACTTTAATATCCACATGGATGAATCCAACCCTTTGATGTCTCAGGCCCTTAAAATCTTCCTCCTCTAGACTTCTCCTTCAATCATCTTTATCCTCACTTTAATGGTCACCAACTGTATCTCACTACATCCCAAAACATCATACCTCTCAAATCACCTGGTCAAGCATTTCCCTGCCTGATCAGAATTTCCTGTTCTTCCAAGTTGCCATGATCAGACATTCTGACTGTTCTTCAATATAATTGAGCCTGCTAACTCATTCTTCGTTTTCTCTACTAGCCCTCTCTTGTCTTTCCTTTCATCTCTATCTGTGTTCTCTAATTTCACAACTCTCATTTTGCAATATTTAATCTTTTGTCTGCACACCATCATCTAGAAATGCCTAACTAAAACACCCCAACTTTGGATGAGACTGACAATTCTCCTGCCTGTTCTATCAGCTGAGCATTGCCAGAAAAAATGTCTCAAAAAACAACACAACACATATCTGCATGACCCCAAATCAGTAAGATTGACCTCAAATAGTTCCTTAATTCTGCTAATCAATTCTAATGAATTGTTTGGTTAACTCACTCTGTCACTCTCCACTTTACTGTAGAACTTTTGCACTCTCCTCTATTCACAACTACCTTCTCTCAACAGATTGTGAAACATCCTTCTTCCCTCAGTAAAGAGAAGCAATCAGAGGGCAGCTGCTTCAACTGTCTTACCCAGTCTGTCAATCTACCTGTATCTGTCCCCTTTCTTTCCTCTTCTTCTGTGGTACAAGTGAATGGGTCATTCTTTCTAATCTTTCTAAGGCTCAACTCTCCAACAGTGTTATTTAGTCCATTCTCTTCTACCTTTTCCCCAAATCTTACATTATTTTTCATTTTGTTTGCTGTCAGCCACTTTTTTTTTTTTTTTTTTTTTTTTGCCCTTCCCAGTCCTGTTTACTTATGATTATGCAGCTTATATCTTTTTTTGAGAAGAAGTCCTGCTCTGTTGCTTGGAGTGGAGTGCAGTAGCATGATCTTGGTTCACTGCAGCCTCTACCTCCCAGGCTCAAGTGATTCTCCTGCCTCAACCTCCCAAGTAGCTAGGATTATAGGCATGCACCACCATGCCTGGCTGCATGCTGCTTATATCTTAAAACAAATAAACAAGCAAACATCTCTTCGTTTACCTCACTTTCCCATTCAACTATTGTTCTCTGTCTCTGCTCTCTTTCCCTATCTATATTCTGGAAAATATTGCCAACTCTGGCTGTGTACAATTGCCCAAGTAATAGAGCCTTGCATTTACCTTCCCCCGTTTTTTCAATAATATGTTCTCTATCCTAGGCGATCCACCTCCCCTGCTGCTTAGGCATTAGGCAATGTCTGGAGAAATTTGAAGTTGTCATGATGGGCATGATAGGGGGAGATAAGATTGCCATCTTAGAATAGAGAGCAAGGATGCTGCTGCTAAATTCCTGCAAGGCCCAGGACAACCCTCCCTGAAACAAATAATTATCTCATACAAAATGGCAATGAGGTTTAAGTTGAGAAATGCCTCCATTAAAAATATTCCTATTAAGGTCTCTGACAAGCTCAATTTGCATATGCAATATTGTTTTAATGACTTTATTCTACTTCGTTTATTGGCAGCTGACTCCTCTCACTAAGCTTTCAGTGTAGAAATAGTCTTTCTTTTGGTGTGAGGAACAAAACACTCTCTTTATTTTTCTCTTTCCTTTCAGACTTCTCTGTTTCTTTCACCTGGACTGATTGTGGCTACTGTCTAGCTTTCCACTGGCCTTCCTGAATCCACTAATGCTTTACTACATCTACATTCTCTGTCCCACTCCTTGATCCATCATTCTTCCATAATCCAGTCTCCAGTCGTCATTCAGAGCAAAAATTTTAAAACATAGACACAATGGAGTCACTTTACTGTTAAAAGTCTTCACCAGTTTACCATTCATAGAAAGAGAAACTCAAATCTTTAACAAGGCCTTTGAATATTCTGTTTATTCTCAGCCTCTATCTAGGATATGTGCCCTTATCTCTGCTGTAGTCACATTAATTTTTTTTTTTTTTTTTTTTTAGTTATCTGAATGTGCCAGTTTCCTTCCTGCCATAGAATATTTGCCCATGCCTGTATCTTTGATGGTACATCTTGTTAGTTTGCAAGGCCAACTTATTCTTCAGATCCCAGGTATACCATGTGCTCAGAGAAGTCTCTCATTAACTCAGAGAAGATTCAGCCTGCCTGTTATCTGATCATAACTCTCTATAGTTTTCCTTAAGAAAACTATTTGTGTAACATCTACCAGATTGTCGTGGAAAACTACCTATATAAAAAGTAAAAACAATTTCTGTTAAATTAGATGCTTAATATCCCAGCAAACACTGCCACTTGTGGAAGTTTAAAATACAATTCAGGTCTGGTGGTTAGTCCATTTGATTTCTACCTGGAATCTGAAAAAAATAAAGCATAATACTATTTTTGTTGGCAAATTGGAGCACATTATTTACTTTAACTGAGACTCATGTTTAAAGTTTATGTAATAAATTTGTGTTGGGGGCTTAATTTATCTTCTTGTTTAAATGTAAAATTCTTAAGCCTTTATTTTATGACCAAACTGTCTACAAAATTGTATGAAAATATTCTAATAGATCTCTGTTATAAAGCATAAACATATTGTTTTATCAATGCCTTCTACTTTTTCTTTTGTATTCTTGGTCAAAAGCGGATTGGGTATGGTTTCCCATTGGGTGGAGTTCTACTTATCTACTCTTTGCTCTGGACTTTTAACTAGCGATGCTAATTTCATCTTTCACATGACAATCTGGGTTAGGCTGTTTCCCAGAATTTGGCCTAAGTGGTCTAGACAGCCTAGTACTAGGTCTTGATGGCAAACATAGGTTTCTGACTGTTTGCCCTTTTCCCATGCCTCTGGAATGGTGGCTACACTTCAGATTAGCTTTTTCCTTATTATGAAGCATGAAGATCACTCTTCCACACTGGGGAAGTAAAATGGTCAGAGAATCAGAGGGAAGGAAGAAGTCTTATTCAGGACTCTAATTCAGGACACTAATTCCAACTTACTGGAGGATTACTGGGCATTAAACAGGAGCTCCACCTAGTCTCTCTTTGGGGAAGAGGAGTGAGTAATAGGATTCAAATACCAAACCAACACCCTAATAGCCTACTGCATATGGATTTTCTTTCCACAATAAAACTAAGTGCCTTTTATTTCTTACTTCTCTACCTGGCCTATGAAAATATTTTCTATACCAAGGTTTTCTATACCATGGTTTTTTCTATACCACTCATTTTCTATACCAAGGTTATTTACTTCAGTTTGTCATAAAATTTTGGGTAAATTAAAATATATATTATTTTCTTTATATCATTGAAGTTATTTAAAGGTGAATATTATTGGCTGATCATAGAATATTATGTCATTGTGTGTTCTACTTCTGTTTTGTGACTGTTGAAGTTATTGTTTTTAATTATTAGTGAGATTAAGGTAGCCTATGGAATTCAAACTGCTAATCAGCTCCTCATGTCGCTCTTTGTGCTATTGGCACCTTTCCATTTTATATTTAATTTTGATGCTTTAAATTGTTATTATAGTAAAAAATTATATAGCTCATCTGCATTCTCAGCTTTTTTCCTGTATTATCCAGAGGGGCCACAATGAAATAGATATGGACCCATGGAGCTAACTGATTAAGTATAATTTCAGGCCCTGCCATGTCTTATTCCTCAGATATTGGCCATATGACTCAACTTTCCTATTCTTTGGTTCTCTTTTATAAAATGGTATTAAGATGAGTACTTGCCTCACAGGGCTATTGTGAAAACAAAGTGAGTAATGGGTGTAGCAGTCTCACAACAGTGCCTCTGACGTGAATTCTATTAAAGTGTTAGCTCTTATCTTTATTTAGAAAGTAATTATGAAACCCAACCCTCACATACTTTCATGGACAACACAGGCAGTAAGCAAGCAGCAGCAACCAAAAACAAGAGGTGTTTAATTTCCATCCCTGAAAAGAAAAATAACATAATTTTAGATTATTCTCAATTCATGGGATAACATCTTGTAATAAACTTTATTTAAACCACTTTTACATGTGTTTGCAATATTTTCCCTAAAAGAAACCTTTAGGATCCAACCAAGACTTAATGTATTAGTCATTAGGACCCAGATAGGAAGGCAGGACTGTTGTTTGAAGGATAGTAGACTCTCAAAAATATAAATTGTTTTAAACCCTGGACCTTTGAATATGTTATATTGTGTGGCATAAGGGAATTAAGGTGGCAGATGGAATTCAAACTGCTAAATAGCTAACATTAAAGTAGGGAGATTTTCCTGGAATATCTGGGTGGACCCAATGTAATCACAAGCGTATTTAATGTTGAAGAGGAAGTCAAAAGAGTTAGTGTCAGTGATGAGCATGAGACAGACTTGACCAGTCATGCTGAATTTGAAGACAGAGGAAGATACTGCAAGCTAAAGAATATGGATAGCCTCTGGAAGCAGGAAAAGGTAAGGAAACAGATTCTCCCCATAAAGTTTCCCTATTGACATCCTGATTTTAGCCCAGGAAGACCTATCTGAATTTCTGACCTCCAGAACAGTAGGATAATAAACCTATATTTATTTTAGAACATTCAATTTATGATAACTTGTTATAGTAGCAAGCGGAAAGTAATATAAGAAACGGAAAGATTATATTTAAACTCTCCATAGCTACAAAGAAGAGGAGTAATTTGGTACTACTAATTTATGTAAGTGACTTAGAGATATTCCATAATATCTGATCACCTTGCTAAGCATGGTTGTCATTGAGTCAAACAAATCAGAGCTAATGTACCCTCTCCTTTCTTTTTAGTTAATATAAATAGTTAACTCTAGGATATTAATAAGTATAGATTATTGAATTTGGTTGGCACCTTCTTTTCACCATCTGCGAAGTTTATTTCTGAATTAATCCTGCTGTGTGAGAAGTAAAAAAGGCTAACAGTTTGGTTCTCATTTTACAAAAGCAAGCACTTTTAAAGAACAAGTTACCAGATTTGTGCAGAATAATACAGGGCAGACAATTACTCGTGCTTTTCCCCCCAATGATGTAGTTTACCACTGCTCTCACGCTTCCCATGCTGACTGCCAGACATGCTCAATATGAGAGAGAACTCTCTAAATCAATTCTTTCAGAGAATACACACATGTAAACAATCTCACCTTTATTATTCTTTTTTATCTATTTCCTTGCCTTTCTCTCTCCCTCCAAATGTTCACATAGCCTCACATTTCAAGATTTATCGTAATGTGGTGACACAGATGATGAAATATCCCTTTTTCTTACTAATCCTAAAAAAATCTAGTAAAGCAGACAATATTAACCCTGAGGTAACTGAAAAAAAAGTAAAATAAAAGGGAGATTCTGAGGGGAGGGGCTTCAGGAGAGATAGCTGACTAAGCATCTGGCACTTGCCTTCTCCACAAAGAAGAACCAAAATAAGGAGTAGATAATTAAACTCCAAATAGACCATCTAGTATTCAACAGATAAGTGACATGAAGCACCTAAAGCAAGGAAGGAGAGAAAAACAAGGCAGTCTGCTCAGTTGAGATTGGCTGGGAGCCTGGAAAGACTCCTTAATGTATGGAAAGGGTAAGAGAGTGACCCCCACTAATGCATATTTTCATCATGGACTTCTGCATCCTAGCCATTGGGATGCCTCTAGACCCTCACAGACCACCAGCCCCCATCCCCCTGAGGCTACCAAAGAGTTGCCTGGAGACTGCCCAAAGGCACAGTTCTAGAGGAGAGTTCATGGTGGGTCCCACGGGTTTCACACACCCTTGAGTGCTAGGCAGCTACAGAAGGGTCCTTTATTGAGACCCTATTCCCAACCAGGCTGCATTCTGCACAGGGTCCCAATAGCCCTTGCATATCCACATCTCTGGAGCCACATTGACATTTCCCACCTGAAGCGTCTGCTGCACCTAGCTGCTGCTGCCAGAGACGATATATTTAACAAGTGCTGAAAGAAAAAAAAAAAAAAAAAAAAAGAAACTTCCACCTATGGATACTATAACCAAGAAAGTTATCCTTCATAAATGAAAGATTTAAAAAACGTATATTCCAGACAAGCAAAAGCTAAGGGAATTTGCTACCATTAGACTGGCCCTACTGGTAATGCTTAAAGGAGTCCTACACATGGAAGTGAAAAGATATCTACCATCATGAAAACACACAAAAGTATTAAACCCACTGGTAGAGCAAACACAAATAAGGAAGAGAGAAAACTCAAATGTTATGACTATGTAAAACCAGCTGACCACAATGATAAACAATAAGAGAAAAAGGAAACAAAAAATATACAAAACAACCAGAAATTAACTAACAAAATGACATATCAATGATAACATTGAACATAAATGGATTAAATTTTACACTTAAAAAATATAGAGTGGCTAAGTGGATTAAAATATAGCCCAACTATATTCTATCTTTAAGAAACTCATCTCACCTATAAAGACAGATATAGAATGAAAGTAAAGGGATATCAAAAGATATTCCATGCAAATGGAAACCAAAACCAAGCAGAAATAGCTACAGTTATATAAGATAAAACAGACTTTAAGTTCAAAATAGCAAAAGCAGACAAAGAATGTCATTACATAATGAAAAAAGGAATCAATTCAGCAAGAGAAAGTAACAATTCTAAATGTATACACCCAACAATGGAGCACCCAGATATATAAAGCAAATATTATTATATCTAAAGGGAGAGATAAACTCCAATACGATAATAGTGGGGAGTCCAACACCCTACTCTCAGCATTAGACAGCTCATATAGATAGAAATTAACAAATAAACATTGGATTTAAATTGTATATTAAACCAAAGGAACCTAACAGACATTTATATAACATTTTATCCAACAGCTACAAAGTGCACATTCCTCTCATCAGCACATGAAACATTCTCTAGCATGGACCATATGTTAGAAAACAAAACAAGTCTCAATGAATTTTTAAACATTGAAATGATGTCAAGTATCTTCTCTTACTACAATGAAATAAAACTAGAAATCAATAACAAGAGGAACTTTGGAAACTGTAAAAAATGTGGAAATTAAACAGCAGACTCCTGAATGACCATTGGGTCAAGGAAGGAATTAAGGAGTAAATCAAACATTTTTTTAAACAAATAAAAATGGAAATACAGCATACCAAAACCTATGGGGATACAGCAAAAGCAGTGCTAAAAGGCAAATGTATAGTGACAAACAACTACCTCAAACAAAAGAAAGATTTTAAATAAACAATCTAACAATGCATCTCAAGAATGAAAAAAAAAATAAGGGCAAATCAAACCCAAACCTGGTAGAAGAAATCACAACGTTCAGAGCAGAACTGGACAAAATAGAGACTTTAAAAAACAATACAAAGGATTAAAAAAGTTGAACTTTTGAAAATATAAACAAGACTGATAAACCAGTAGGCCAAGTAACCAAGATAAAAAAGAGGAGACCCAAATAAATAAAATCAGAAAAAAAGAAGATATTACAAATGTCACTAGAGAAATACAGAAGACCACAAGACAATCATGGATAACTGTATCCTAACAACTGAAAATTGTAGAGAAAATAAATGAACTCCTGGAGACATACAGCCTACCAAGATTGAACCAGAAAGAAATAGAAACCAGAGCTGACCAATAATGAGTAATGACATTGAATTGTAATAAAAACTCTACCAATAAGAAAAGTCCAGGATCAGATGATTTCACTGCTGAATTCTACCGAGTTTTCAAAGATGAACTAACATCTATTCTTCTCAAACTATTCCAAAATATTACAAGAAAAGTAAAGTTGCCCTAATTCATTCTAAGAGGCTGGCATTACTCTGATACCAAAACCAGACAAGCATGCAACAAAGAAGAAATCTATAGGCCAATATCCCTGATGAACATAGATTCAAAGTTCCTTAACAAAATACTAACAAACCAAATCCAACAGCACATGTAAAATGTAATGGACAATGATCACGTGGGATTTATAGCAGGGATGCAAGGATGGTTCGACATATGCAAATCAATAAATGTGACATATCACATTAACAAAATAAGGGAAAAGAACCATATGGTAATCTCAATAGACTCCTTAAAAGCATTTGATAAAATTTAACATCTCCTCCTAACAAAAAACTCTCAACAAACTAAGCATTGAAAGAATCTAACTTGGCCAGGCACAGTAACTCACACCTGTAATTCCAGCCCTTTGGGAGGCTGAGGTGGGCAGATCACTTGAGGTCATGAGTTTAAGACCAGCCTGGGCAACACGGTGACACCTCGTCTCTACTAAAAATACAAAACATCAGCAAGGCATGGTGGCACGTACCTGTAGTCCTAGCTACTCAGGAGGCTGAGGTGGGAGAATTAGTTGAACCTAGGAGGTGGAGGTTGCAGTTAGCCAAGATCATGCCATTGCACTCCAGCCTGGGCGACAGAGAAAGACTCCATAAAAAAAAAAAAAAAAAAAAAGAACATAACGCAACATAATAATGGCCATATATGACAAATCCACATCTAGCATCACACTAAATGGGCAAAAGCTGAATGTCTTTCCTCTAAGACCCAAAACAAGACAACATTGCCCATGTTCAGCACTCTTATTTAATATAGTGCTGGGAAGTTCTAGCAAGAGAAATCATGCAAGAGGAAGAAATAAAAGGCGTTCAAATTGGGAGAGAGAAAGTCAAATTGTCACTCTTTGCAGATGATATGATATTATATCTAGAAAACCTAAAGACTCCACCAAATTCTTAGATCTGATAAGTAAGTTAAATAACTTTGCAAGATACAAAATCAGCATGCAAAAATCAGTAGTGTTTCAAATAAAATACCTAAAGATAAATTTTACCAAAGAGGCGAAAAAATTCTACAAGGAAAATTGCAAAAGTCTTATGAAAGAAATTGAAAAGGACACAAATAACTAAAAGTAATCCCATGCTCATGAATTAGAAAAATTAA